CCTAGTTATATTATGTGCGACAAAAATCGCATTCAATCGATATTTTATAACGTGTCTATTGTAAGATGATGCCTACCTTTTTAGATAAGACTATATCGGAGAGATGACTTTTATACGAATGTTAAGTAACTGTTGACGCTAACTTTACAATAAGTACTTCCAATTAACCATATCAATTCGTTTGAATGTCCAATTTTTTATTGATCACTATAATGTTCGATACAATTATATATCTTGATAGTGGTAAAGAAGATAAGAGATTCATTCATGTGCTTTTTTTCCTTCTTTATACAAACTATGATTTTAAACATTTACTTAATTATTAATATATTAATGAAATTGATAATATAAATTGACGAAATAAAAAGAAATAACAAACATAATTTACATAACACTTTTTAATAGTTGTCAAAATATTATTCATATATAATTGTATCGATTATTATCTGTGGCGGTACCACATTTTGGTATTTTTTATCTGGCAACTTGTTGATTCCATTTCGTTGCGACGAATAATCCTAGTTTTAATTTGGCTAATATAGATTTTAAGAATACGAAGCACAATTTATTACTTAACGAATGAAAAAAAAAACATATTATTAAAAACAACACTAATATATTGTTAATAATTTTATTCTATTTGTTTAACGTGTAGGACGAGTTTTTTCTGTTTCAAAAGGATTGGCAATGTTATATGAAATATTTCCGCATTTATTTGTATATTTTACTGTGTTTATAATGTTTTAGAAGTTAAATCCAAATAAACGTTCTGCATAGTAATATTTCGTTTTATTTTACCCAAGTCATTACTTTGGTAACAAATGACATTTCATTGTATGGGGACTTAACAACTACGAAATATCTATAGTATACCTACATTTTAAATTAACTTTTAAAATCATAATAATAATTAAAAAAACTATAATGCTTTCTTAGATTTACGCGAATTTTAAATAAAACTATATTTTCGGATTTTTTCGCGGATTTATTTGAATTTTTGGTTCCCGACGTTTCGAATGCTTTACAGCAATCATGGTCACGGGAGAGACTGAGGTGTTACATGTCTTGAAGGTATAGTTGTTACAGACAGCCTACCTACAAATAACAAAATCAAAATTTCACCAATTACCTTAAAATATTTTTTAACTTTAAAATTATAAAAATGTTTATACTTTCACATTCATTATCATTCAAATCACTATTATTTGGTATTAAAACAAATAATTTGCAATACTCTCCTACCTGCCCTCTATTTTTTTAATATGCTTTATGATGCTTTCTCTACAAATAATGACAATTATTTAATTGATTGCTGATTTCGATTTTTGTTACGATGATATCTCATGTACAGGTCACCTAGTGTAGTCCACCCATTATTGCGCGGTATATCTGCAATATCGCATTTTCTCACTGGGTGACAAAATGTCTATAAATTAAAAGTTGCTTTAATTTATGGCTATAAAATTATAACTAAAACGTTTCTGTACATTGGAAAATCTGGGAACGCATCATGAGAAAATCACTGGATAGATTTTGATTAATTTTTTGTTTTGTTATTTGTTAATTTGTTATCCGGGATTTTTATATCTACTTAGGAGAGATTCTAACTAGGGATGTTATTTATAAAAGCTGTCGAATACCTTTAATTACATAGGTACTCGATAGCTTTTATAAATGACATCCCTAGTTCCTAGTTATCTGTCAAAAATCAAAATGTCTCACTAATCACTATTGACAACAGTACAGACAAAGGTTTGTTTATTTTTAGTTCACTGATTGATGAATCTAAATTATACACTAATCATAAATAAGTATAAAAATTGTTAATAAATAAAATAAATATTTATATAAATATGTACCTGCTATTTCTTTCTGACCTTGTGTAAAAATTCTCGTCGGAAACAAGAGCGTTGTAATCCTTATTCCTAATATCCTAATATATCCTAAATTCATCCCATAATTTTCTTTTTAAATTTAGATCAGAATACTCTTTTAATTTTGTTCTGTATAACGCTGGCCTCTTCTCTATCTCCTTTATTAACAGATCGTTGTTAATAATATCTTTGACATGCATAAAAACCGCCATTTTAGACAAAAATGAAACATTGTACACGTGAATTTTCTACACGTTCACCGGCCGAGTCACCGAGTGACAAAAAGCCGCCCCGTAGGCGCAATTTCATAGATAAACATATTATTCGATTTGGTAACAAAAAGTCACAATCGCGGGGAGATTACACAAAAGGTTACTTTTGAAAAATACTTAAGCGTCGTACTTAATTTTTTAACGTTTAGGATTATAGTGAAGAAGGAATCATTATTAAATGGTTTTTTGGGAGTAAAAATCGAGAAAATAAATTGGCACTTACTTATACCTCAGACTAAAATATTTTATACACGGAGCGGTGACCGCAAAAAATAAATAAATGAGTATACAAATTGTTATTTTAAAATATTATTGTTTGGCTTCATATTTAGTTATAAGACACTCGATTGTCTATATTATTCCTTGGTTTGAGTTCAACTGGCAAAAAGTTAGACCTTTTAAAAAGAAATACATATATATATTAACAGCTGTATAAATATCGAACAGTAATAAATATAAAAATCAAAATGTAAGTACCTAACTATTTTTGCTTGCATTTTGCATGCGTTTTAATAAAATGCAAGTGATTGATAAGTTTTGTTACGAAGATGAAAATTGTTATCAACGGCAGTCTAGCTCTGAAGTCTAGATAGTTATTCATCTCCTAGAAGCCACGAAATAAAAAAAATGAATTGAATTAGCCATTAGGTATTCATATAATATGATAAATAATGACGATTTGTATAAAAAATCACTTGTCAAAAAATCTTTTAGTCAAATTTTCTTTTAATGCCAAACATACTATACTAAACTTTATTCGTTAATACGCTACGAAGTAATAATAGGGCCTTTTTAAATATTTGCTGTTCTCAAAAATACTAAACCGCGGCAGATTCAGAGTTCCTGGGTTCAACACCCGGGTCGAGCCAAGTTCATTATTATTATAGTTATTGAGTATTTATATCAAAAAAATCTCAGTAACCTGGGGAGAGAAAGTTGGCGATTTTATACCCCTACCTCGGAGAGCACATAAAGCCGTCGGTCCTGCGCCGACACTCACCGGTCGTGTATTTAAGTATCGTCCCATCGGACTTTGCCAGTAAAAAGAATAGAGTGCACTTGTATCAATAAAGGACACTTGAAAAAATAGGGTTATCACTCACACATTACTATTATCAGGCCAGGCCAGAGATTAAAATTGGTCCCTACATGTCTCAAAATACCTACTAGTCGTTATAATCTAAAGAAATATTATAGGACTAATGTAATAAATAATTATACTTAACATTTGTATTGGTTTTCCTCGAATTTGCAATCATAGAATCAGAACCAGAAAACGACATTTCTGTTGTGGTGGCTCCAGGGCTGCAGGCCTCTCGGTTGCTTAACCCTAAATTACTGTAGAGGTGTGTTGGAAAGAGGAGAAAGCGTGTTGACAAAGTTTGATAAAGCTGGGGCACTTTGTCAAGTGTCACTCAGCAATTATAGTTAGGTACGTTACGTATAGGTACGTAATAAAATTCTAACTAATTGTAAGTCGAATCTGTACATTAAATATTTTTTGGAAAATCTTATTCAAATAGTCATTATCACAGAGGCAGAATTTAGTTTTTAAAATTTGTGTCCGTCTGTGACTGCATGACGAGAAAAGCACTGGACAGATTTTAATGAAATTTGGAGTGATCTGGTTATCCCGGGTCCAACATATAGGATACTTTTAATGCGGGAAAATATCCTCATCTCTGAGAAATCTATACTAAAGGTTAAAATGTAAGTAGGGACGAACCTGAGCAGAGGGAGGGTGAATCACTAGTGTAAAATAATGTTAAAAAGAAACTTAAAAATCTTTATTCAGGTTAACAATATTGTTAAGCAGTAATACACTTAAATAAATCCATCATATCATAAATATAATTTGTTCTTACATGTAAGCATTCTGCATACATTATAAATTATAATCAGTCTAAGGCCACATTATTAGAAGCACCTATTAAGATATATAGATATAAACCCTTTAAACATTTTATCACAAATTTATGTTTTTCTTAGCAATAACATACAATTAGATGATGATTAGATTTTTATTTAACAATTTCCTTATTTAAAGTCAATATTTTCAAGAAGAAATAATATTGTGTTATGAACTAACGAAGATGTTTGAATATTTATAACAGAAGTTAATAGTTCTTAGTCGATTCTGCTACTTGTTAATCTATGCTATCACTCCAACCCATATTTACCCTGACATTTTAAATTATACCAATGGCAATATTATAGAAATGGCATTCCCCTCATATTGTAGGGAGGTCCGTTCCCAGCAATGGGACATTAAAAAGGGCTGAATACAATATTATAGAGAATGACTAGGTAAATTCTATTAATTTATTTAATTTTTTGGTAAAACTTTTGTTTTTAACAAAATAAGCTAATGGTTACATTGAATAGTAATTCTATCATGCAAAATATATTTTCTACATTAAGTAGTTAGGTTATTCGGTATTAAAGTGAAATCTCATTAACGTTTTTTTACCTAGCCAACCTTTTTAAAGATATTTATTTTTAATATTGCAATATTTTATTCATAGCACTGGAATATTTTAAACTGAGCCGTAATAGGGAATAAGCGTGTTTTTTTGTTTTTTTTTCATATACAATGCAATGTATGTAATAAAATGTATGTAAGCTACATTGTTATATTATAATTGTAGAAAAAAATAACCAGCTCCTAAAAACTTAAAATATAAAAAAATGTTTTCAAAATATCAATTGTTAGTAACAATCGTAAAAATTACAAAACAGAGCTCTGTTATAATAAGACTTTGAGGTCACATTTAAATCACACACATATTCCCTATTATTAACAAATTAATAAATATCTTACATGTGGCCTCTATCTAATATAAATCCATCATCATACTTTGACAGTAGATGAGGTACTAGCGTCTAAGCCATTAACTGGGGTGGGAATGTCTGTCCTAGGCCTCCTAAACAGAAGGACATGGGGCTCCGGATTGTGTACCATGAAGTGTAACCATCCAGGACTTTGTTGAACACCTAGATTTCTCCACTCCGTTTCTGTCATAAGGTGAGATTTTGGCACTAAACGAGCTATATCTGGTGGGAGAATTACGTGCCTGTGAAATAATTTTGTATGTTATACAACAGATTAAAAAAATTATTGTAAGGTAAGCATGCTTCTAAATAAGTCTTAAATATGATGTCTTGAATTCGTTAACCTTTTTTTAAATTTTTTATAACATTATAGTTACATATTAAAAATGGTTGAACAAATATAATATATTCAAGTAAATAAACTAATTAAGTTTATGTTAGCCAAGAGGCTAAACACTTGATAGCTATTGCACATAAAATTTGTAGTATTCTTGAAAATTTAGTTAGTAATTATTTAAACTATTCAAAGCTGTCACAGGTGTGGGACCTACGTTTCAACTTTATAAGCATGGCCGAGAATGCCGAACGCATGATGTAATGTACTGTAGCAATTATGAAATTATGTTTTTAAGTTACAATGTATGTATTAAGGAGCAACAAAACTAAATAGTAAAAAAATGAAAAAGGTAAATTAAATTCAAATAATATCAAATTAAATATCTCACCTATATTCGTAGACGTCATCGTTGTATCTTTCAGAATACTGTATTTGATCAACTGGCATTTTTATAAAAAATCTATTAATATATTAATTTTATAGATAAATGTTATAAAAAGCACAAAAATCTAATACTTAAGAAATATTAATTGAAAAATGTGTTTTCACTTTCAGCGATCGATTCCTCTTCCAGCTGTTCAAACTGTCAAAATAGTCAAAACATTTACGTTCAAAAATGATAAGTTACTAAAGTTAATTTGTTAGTAAAATTCTCTAAATTTATTCCAATTTTTGCAAATAATTATATCAAATTTTATAGTTTTTATTAATTTTGATATAAATTTAACTAAATTAATATTTTATGAATAAGTTAGAATAATTTAAAGAATACATTCACTAATGTTTACGAACGTATCTACTTTCATTGGAGGGAACGCTGCAATGTCGATAATGACTTAAACGTTTCATTTTATGTATTACCAAAATGAGATTTTTATTTTTCTTTAATAAAACTAAACTAAAAAATGTTATGAAATAGTAAAAATGTATTCTGTCTATGTATGTTCTGTAGAACAATAGGAATAACTATATATATTTCAAAATATTTAGTCTTTATTTAAATTTTAATTTATACACTCTATATGAAAAGTATTTAATATACAAATATTACGAAAGAAATACCTGTATTTACTTATTTTCAAGAATCTTTAAAATTGTACATTTATACATATTAATTTAAAGAAAAAGAATATTATTATTATTATAGCTACTACTGGTTAGCATGGGAGACACCGAGCGGTAATCAATGGTCATCGTCATCCCTAAAAAACAACTAAAATGTATGTAATAAACTTAACTGTTTCTGTAATCGAGTGTCAATAAGGAGTACCACCAGACAAAAAGTTTTTTTTACAACAATAAATTATTGTACCTACCCGCAAAGAAACAAAGGAGTGGAAATTTTGTCTGTATACCTTCAATTGGGTGACACCCAGGCCGCCGCTATGGTCCTCCTATAGATGTATGGCCGGTTTAAAACCAATCAAACCAATCCTTTTAAAATGAAAAAAACCCATTTAAAACCGAAATAAGCCTCTTTTTCGGTTTAAAACGGTTGGTATTGATTTGATGTTTTCTTAATTATAACTACATTTTCTCGAATTTACCGAGGTAGGGATATGACGGAGTACCTATAAACTGTGTAAAGATTTTTTATATGTATGATATACTGATAATACTTAGCGGGTTTAGTTCTAGTAGGTCCGTCCGACCAAGCGTAGCTATTACCTACCTAAGTTATAACAACTCTATTGATAAGTTAAAAACTCTGTGTTGGTAAATAAACATTTTTTTCATTGTTTTCACCGATATAAATTATCTATTTGATTCGGCTTAAAACCAAACTTACACTCTCGTGACGTCGTCACTCGTGACTGAAGCGTTGCTGCTAGCCTACGATACACACACATGCACATACATAAAAATATAATATAATAAATAAGTATAGGTAGGTATACCTACACACTTATGTTTTCGTGTAGTAGGTAGGTACATTCCATAGATTTTCTATAAACTAGTTAAAACGAAACATGATGTCAGATGACCATAAATTGCCCACAATGAAGTGTAAAACAAAAACATAGTTCTATTATTTTTGTAGGTGAATTTTTAACAGTTTCAAACGATTTATTTTGGGTTTAAAACGGTAACATTTTATTTAAAACGTTTGAAATCGGTTGTTTAACATCTATAGTCCCCCCCTAGCTAGGGGCTAGGGGGGACTATAGTCCCCCGTAGTTACGTTACCGTGACATAGTCATATTTTTGTTGTAAGTAATGTAAAATAAAGCAAATCCTCACAATGTAACCGGATCAGTAATTTATTGCGTTATCGCATAGGCAATGTAATTTGCGAAGCAAAATTATTAATTTAAATATAAGTGCGGGATCGCATACATAGAACGAGAGAGGGTAGAATGTCGGTAATGACGTGACAGATTATTCAATCTAAGCGACCCCACTGCAGTAGCAATTCAATGATGAGTCCCTGTTGTGTAGTAACTGCATTATTTTTATATTTCGGAATCGTTGTCTCATTTTATAATTGTAAATATGATATTTTGCGTATATATATATATTTAATTTAACTTTATAAATGAGAATGAGACTATGGGTAAAATCACAGTATTTAACATTTATAAATAATAATAATAATTTCCTCCCGACACATTTCGGCCACGGCGGCCAATCTCATCGAGACTAGCCAGATGCGCAGAAGATATAGTGCACAAGTGTACGTGCAGATAAAAGTGCACTCTCTATTCCTTCTCCTCTCAAAGTCCGATGGAACGATACTTCAACACGACCGGTAAGAGTTAAGTCGCAGGACCGGCGGCTTTATGTGCTCTCGTAGATACTACTGAGAATATCTTTAATAGAAAAGCTCAGTAATTAAACTTGCCCCTCCGGATCTGCAGCTGTACATTCTAGCTATTAGACGACCGAGACAGTTATTTATAGATATCGTGTTCAAAGACATCATAATAAAAAAGAAAGCAAAATACACATCAGTTTATTTACGAGTTAGTGAGTGTATGTGCATGTTACTTCTTTACGCCTTAACACTTTAATATAAACGTTTTTTTTTAAATAGACCGTAAATATAATACTCATAAGCAAGGCCGCGGCAAAATATAAGTAAAAAATAAACACATAAAATGATTGTCAACCTTTCGAACCAATCACGAATATAGAGTGATTGCAACCGGTAGTGTCGGGTTCTGCTTCCAGGCTATCCAGTTGGCATCCTAAATCTATAACGACACCATGACATGTATTAACTTAGAATTTTTGCAAAATCTTCTGAAGGACGAATATCCAGATGTGGTCATTCACGATTTTGAGGTAAATAACGGTTTATTATTAACTATTTTAAATATTTTTAAATAATACATTTTTAACTCACTCTTTATTCTATTATAATAGTTACTTTTTTCAAATATTTTACTATAAATTATTATACAGAGATTATTATTATTTTTATCTAAGAAACGAGAGAATGAATTCCAAGCATAGCAAAATATAATAAAAATATTAAATTTACTTAAATATTATACATTTTGTTTTATAATCAGATTATGAATTGTAAACTTCACATTAAGCCTAACATTAAATCATTATAAAAGTAAATATTATTTCGGTATAATATAATAAATGTTGTAAGCAATAAAAACGTTTCATTCCACGCAACATTTCCACGAACACTCAACAGATGGCGCTGTATCATATCACTCGATTCCTGAATCGCGCTGTCTAGATTTTCTCACAAACAATGACCCTGTCGCCATACAGTAAGCAACTCATACTTACCTGGCGTAGGGGACACCGTGATCAAGAAGGCGGTTCCCCCAGAGCGAGGCCCTTCCATTGCACTGCGGCTGGGTTGACCTCTGCGATTATTCCTAATGCGGATAACTCGGACGCGTAATTTTCGGTAATGGGGACTGCGTACGCGCCATCCCCCTCAGAAACTTAAAATTATTATGGGATATATAATACCAGGATAGCTTATTTATCATGTTTTGCTTAAGTTTGTTTTTAATATATATATATATATTTATATATATATATATATATATATATTTATATATATATATTTTTATATATATATATGTCTATATATAACTTCAAAAATCACTTAAAAACAAACCTAGGTGTTAATCCAAGTCACAATCTGTGTACTAAATTTTATTCAAATATGTCCAGCCGTTCCAGCGCAAAGAAGTAACAAAAAAAATTACTTAATAATCTAATTTTACACAGAAGTATAAAAAATGTAACAAAATATTACTTGAAATTTTACTACTATATAAATGCAAGTATGGTTGGATGGATGTTTGTTACTCAATCACGCCAGAACGGCTGAACGAATCTGGATGAAATTTGGCATAGAGCTAGATTATAATCTGGAATAGTACATAGGCTACTTTTTATCCCGGAAATGTACGGTCCCCGTGAGATAGATATGTTTTTATCTTTCACTAGCGATGATCCCGAGCGAAGGAAGGGTGAGCCGCTAGTTAAATATAAACTGTGTATCATAATATACTATTATCTTTAATTCGTATTAATTTTGCAATTAGATGACCTTCCATAATAATTGTATAGTGTTTAAATCTATACTAATATTATATAGAGGTAAAGTTTGTGAGTTGTGAGTTTGTGACGTTGTAGGGGGTAATCTCAGGATCTACTGAACCGATTTAGATGAAATTTGGTAAGAAGATAGTTTGAGACCCAGGGATACTTTTAATCACGGATATCATCCCTTAAGGGGGTAAAAATGGGGGTGAAAGTTTGTATGGATAATCAACCTAGGGACCAACCCGAGCGAAGCGAGGGTGAGTCGCTAGTGTTGATATAATTTGTTACTGATAACTCAAAGTAAATGGCTGCAATCGAGCGATATAGTCATAAAGTGCAATGTAATTAATAGTGTAAATATTATATTATTTCGCATACGAGGATTTTGAGCTTTGGAATAGTTCTGATCGCTCGCGTAGTTCGTATGTATTCAGCCTTTTTAACATCCCACTGCTGGGCGTGGACCTCTCTTTAATGTGAGGGTGATCAGTCATCAGACCATAGTCCACCACGCTGGCCGAGTGCGTGGTGGTTATTTTGCGAAATTCATTTACATTGTAATTATTCCGCTTCTAAAAATTGCAGTGATGTTAATCTTCATAAATTTGTTTTTGATGCTAATATATAAAGTTGAAGTGTGTTTGTTCATTTGCACGTTTAAACTTATCATTTTAGTAACTACGGATCAGATAAAAAAAATATATATAATTTATCCATAAATGAAATCGGTTAGGAAGACATTCTTAATAATATGTACCGAGATAAAATGGCTTGTTATTTTTCGGCCTTTAAACTATATCTATGCAAAAACACAGTAGAATATAATAATTTGATACAATTTCGTTTCTAAAATTAAAACGCTATGTTTAAGGGCGCGCCTGGCTCAAAACGTGGTGACAATTACACTTCAATGGTATATCGGGTAACTTTGAAAGGGTCCCGTAAATCTATAGAAGCTGATGGCACTACCGAGATCATCGAGCCATGGGAAGGCTCAATCGTATACAAATGCTTGCCTGAAAGTATCTTACGACGAGAAGCCTTCAAAAGCGACGAGTTATTCTGCAATGAAGTAGCATTTTACAACAAAATTTGGCCAGCACTGTCGAAATTTCAAAGCCAATGGTGTAAAGTTGCTAATCCCTTTAAAGCTATACCAAAATGTTACTTGGCACAAAATGATTTAGTAATTTTGAAAGATTTAAAAGAGTTGGGGTGTGTAATGCCTGATAGGAGGAAAGGGTTGACTATAGAGCAGTGTTATTTTGTGCTAAAACACTTATCGCACTTTCATGCTTTGTCTCTGGCTATGAAGTATTACGACCCAGAAGGTTTTTATGAGTTGTTGAATATACAGGATGGGATATCTGAAGGTAACTATGATTCTTTCTGTTGTTATAGCTTAAAGTAACTAGCATATATACTATGTTAATACATATATGTAACTTTCCTATTTTTCTAGTATTTTTCGTCTCCGAAAACGAAGATTACTATAGAAGCTACTATAGTGAAGCAACACGTAATGCAATAGCAATGGTAGAAGAAGAACTCCACGATTCATCTGATAAGGAAAAATATTTGACACCCTTCAAGCAATTTTGTAGTGAAGATACCTTTTTTCAATCTATGGTGGATATGGTAGCTCCCAGAGAACCACTAGCAGTGATATGCCATGGAGATTGCTGGACAAATAATATGCTGTTCAGATTTCTGGATGGGCAGTTAGCAGAGGTTATTAAATTTTAATTTCAATTCTTGCTTTTCCTATATAAATGTTATAAGTTTACTAAGAGCGGGATTTAAGGGAGGATAAATGGGATAACAGCCCTGGGGCCCATTTAAAGTACCTAAGTGTTGTAAATTTTATTTGTTTATGTGAAATTAATAAATCCGCAAAGATGACAGGAAACGTCCAAATAAAGAACTTCTTTAATTTATTTGCCATATTATTAAGGACTTTCATTCCCATTTTACCATGATAACCTCACATTTTTAAATCCGGCCCTACGTTTTCCGTTTCTTATATATCAATTATCCAGATGAGAATGTTTCCTAACATTCACGAAGTTGGTACAATCACAATACAAAGTAAAGTTAAATCTATTTTATTAAAATGATAAAGTTTGCTTTCGTATTTCAGATGTTCATCGTAGATTTTCAGCTCGCACGTTACGCGTCTCCTGGTTTGGACCTCGCGTATCTTATTTACCTTTGTTTGGAAAGGCAGCAACGAGCAGAACATACTCCTGCCTTATTGCGGTTCTACGCGGATGAACTCCACGATAGGTTGTTGGAGATGAGTGATGGAAATGTTTTAGATAGGGAGACGCTCTATGATATGTAAGTATATTGTCATGTTTTTCTTAACGATTATAGCCACGGCGGTCGATACACTGTGATTAACTATCTGCGAAGGAGATATTATAGTTACCAAGCGTGCGCGCAGATTAGGGTGGAGTGAAAAAACTTTTTTTTTTCTTAGCTTGGAGATAGAATTTGTAGCTTATAAAAAAACAAAATTAAAAAAAAAATTACTTAACATTTTGAGGTGGCCCACTAATTATTAAAATAAATAATCACTTTAGCGCAGACACAAGTGCACTTTCTATTCCTGTCACTCTCAAACTCTGGTACAGGACCGACAGATTCACGTGCTCTCCGGAGTAGACACAAACATCATGTGATAAAAATATTTTTTGCCTGATTTCAGAACTAAGAAAATTAAAATCTGCTGATTTTCCTTATGTACATACTCGTATATATGTAAATATATGCAATTACCGACTCACCCTCGCTTCGCTCGGGTTCGTCCCTAGTTAATACTAGAGAACCGTACATTTTTCCGGGATAAAAAGTAACCTATGTGCAATTCCAGATTATAATCTGTCTTATTTAAAGACATATTATATAATATTATAATATTTATGGCATACACTCGTAAATGGGATTACTAAAATTATTACCAATATTTCAGGTTACTAGAGGAGTTCAAGACCAGCAGTCGCTTCGGTTTAGGACTCGCGTTGGACATGTACCCTATTATGACATGTGACAGCAATGAGGCGCCTAATCTTTATCAAGAGAAGGTATATTTTATTATTTAGTTAGATGTTAATACATTAATATGATTATTTTATTTAATGTTTATAATATTTGGTTAAATAAGCAAAAATGAAAGAATTAAAAAAATAAAATAAAATTATATAAAAAATTAATCATTTAAGCTATACATTACTTGCGGGATAGAGGATGTTATATTAATAAAGCAAAGCTGATTGTTGTTTATAGCTAAATATCTATTTTAATAGTTTAGTGGCGAATTACCCTATCTAATCGTTTCGCTCAGGTCCGTCCCTAGGTACGTTTTAATATAGATAAAAATAATTATTGCGAGTGTACCTTTGGAGATAGATTTATGCTTGATATTGCAGACTTTAAGAGCTACAATTTTCTAAGTCCATTGTTTTGATGTATCTTCTAAGGTTTAACTAACTAACGTTCACCATGTAAATTTCTAAGGACGACTTGACAGAACCGTTAACAGTTATTGTTCTTTTATTTGCGTGGGAATGACAGATTTTCCTGTAGTAAAAGGTATCCTAAATGTTGACCCGAGTAATTAGTTACCTCTATACAGACAAACAGCCATACGGACAACTATTGTTTTGTCGTCTATATTGTGTACATCCTACACAATACGTAACAGTCATTGCTTATAAATATTTTATGTACAGATTTCGCTTTGTTACTATTTTATTATATGTCCATAAAACTTGTATATTATCTTTAAACTTTTAGGAAAGTGAGGTGACCCCATCGCATGTGATAAGCAATTGTGTCAAACCAGTGTGGACTTCCAACGAGGCTTGCAGGAAGAAAATGACCGATTTAGTTATTGAACTCGTCGACGGAGGGCTCTTATGAACGTACATATATAAAATAGATATTTTACTAAAATATATTTAAAAAATACCCATAACTTATCATAGTTCTATAGTGGGCTTACGTATTCTTAAGTGTTTCTCTAAGATAATGAAACGAACAGTATTAATAATTTATATTGAATGTTTATTGAACGTATGTATTTATTAAACGTTATTATGCTGAGAAAAACGTATTTTAATTTGTCAAAAATTGTACTTTAGTAATAATAATAATAATTTTCTTTTAGCAATAATTAATTACATAAAAAAATCTTCGTCCATATAACTTCTTTCCTGGCAGTAGTAGCTCAGTGGTATCGCACTCGCTTGGGAAACCAAGTGAAGCCGTTTCAAATCCAGGCTCTTCTGATATTCTCATATGAGAATAATTCCCAATATGATAACCACTTATCTTACGGTGAAGGAAAACATCGTGAGGAAACCTGTATATCAGAGAGAGAGAGAGACAGACATCTCTTAAGCCGTTTGATTACACTAAAAATTAGTTTTTAATGAAACCACATTAGTTATTGTCGAATATAAATTTATTTCTTTTAGTAAATATAAACACGTAGAATAAGACACTGGTGTTAAACTTACATTTAGTAGAACCATGCTTTGTGACTATATAAAAATATTTACGTACAAAAATCAGATCGTTTATTATATGAATATACAATCTATTAGCTTAAAAGTGCAAAATTGGTAGATTTTTTTTTGTGGGTAGTTCGAAAAATGCAATGGAGCTTGGACGGAAAAATTTAGATTTTTTTAAGACCATTACATTAGCAAAATATAAAAAAGTAGAAAATTGCCTAAAATCAAATTTCGCACTAAAATATATTCACTGGTACTATAATAACGTTTACCCGTACTAATTCGTGGCACAATGTTAAAGAAACGTAAAACTAATTAATTTGGATTTTTTTATAAATTAAAAATAAAAAACGTACGGGCCAAATACTTTTTACAGATCTTATTAGACTTACGGCTAAATATCAGTCATTGAAATCTTCAGATCGTTTGAGATTCGCCTTATATCTGAAGATTCCAATAATATTTTAATGTTATTTTAATATTGATCGTAATACTATCTATATACTGGTGTTATAATGGCTAAACCAAAAAACTATCGCCATTTTTTATGTCATTCCAATATTTGGTTTATTTCATTTTCAATCCAGTTTGAGTTGTTCCTCTCCCTTTAGAAGCTTGAGTGGGTCTCATAAAGCCAGACGTTTTAGTCTTTAGAGGTGGTCGTGGAACACCCACAGAACTGCCACTCGATGAGGATCTAGACGCTGGCATTCTAGATACCGGTTTTGGCACCGGTTTCGGTACTGGTTTCACTGGAGTGGGGGCCTTTTTCACAGTTGCCACAGAAACTGAGCTGTTCAAGGAAGATCTCGAACTTCTAAGTGAAGCTCGAGATGTTGATCTTTCAACTCGCAAAGAGCTCGCGCGTTTTGAAAATGCCCGCTTCGTGTCTAATGGGGTCCGTGGCGGCGCTTTTGTGTCTTTGGTTTGAATTTTCTTTGGAATTTCCGTCTTTTTAGGGATTGGCGATTCACATTCCATGTTGCATCCAGACGACGCTCCCTGAGACGCGCTTTCTGAGTTAAGACTTTGCGTCTCTTCAAACCCTTCATCGTTTAATTCGTGTTCACTTTTCACTTTTGGGATTCGAGGAGATGTCGTTCTTTCTATAGGCACTTTATCTATCTTGGCATTCATAGATTTTCTATATGCATTTCTCGACCAAACTCCTGTAGGTGTTTGTGTGGGTGATTTTAGCTCTCTGATGGCTTTTTGAACATCTTCCTGATTGATAGACGTCTGCCGCCTCATTCTCGAGTATGGCACCGATTTATTATCTTTGGTTGTTTTTTCTGTGCTTTGTGTGCTTTGGCTTTTTAATCTGTCCTGCCAACGTTTTAACCTAACTTCTTTCTCATCTTTAACTGGTTCTTCCACTGGCTTTGTTACTTCCTTAGGAGCATCAATTGGGTATGAAGCTTGGATATCTAATTTGGAAGGTCTGGTCACTTGAGTTTCCGCAGTCAGTTCTTGGCTTTCTGGTTTCTTTTCTTCTTCAAGTGAGCTAGATTCGGGTGTTCGTTTGTATCTTCTTGTCCTTCTGGCAGCTGAGAATCTATCGAATTGTCCGTCACCTAATATTTCTTGACATAGATCTTTCATTTCTGTTTCTCTGGACACTTTCTCGTTTAATAGTGACGGTTGGAACTTTCTACAGGGTTCTCTTTCAGGGGGTGGGTTAAACATTTTCCTATGCACGGGGGGTGTTTCAATGTTATCAGAATCTATTTCAACCCTATCTGATTTTTCTGGTTTAGTTTCTTTAGCAATGGTCACAGTGATGTCGGGTAATTTTCGTTTTTCCTCCTCAGTGATAGACACTAGAGGTTGAGGAGAATCAATTTGTGGGCGTGATCGTTGTCTTCTAAGTCGCCTCATCTCTTCGTTTTCTTCTGTCTTCCTCCATGGTAACCTGCTATCTTTTGTTTTTGGTTGAACATCTGTGGGTTAACAGTTTTATATTATTATTTGTAGGTATTTTGTAATATTTGACTTTATTAGTTGTTTGACAATATAAAAGAATATCCCTATAATATTTCAGATAACGAAGCTATTCTATTTGGATATAATTCATCATTTGTATAATAAATAATAATATACGATATTTTCGTTAATTGTAAACCAGTTATCATGGTATTTTTATTGCAAATATACCACGAAAAGACGATTTCTTATTTAAAAAAACATTTGAATTAATTATGAATTCCTTCATTGTTTTAAATAAAACTATCTTTTCGGATTATATCGCAGATTTATTTTGATTTTTGGTTTCCGACTGTTTTGGTTTCCGTTTTCGTTCAGTAAACCTTTTCAGTTAAAAAGTAATCATATGTGTGTATGTACGTATGTAAATATACGTATGTATGTATGTATGTATGTAGGACCCACCTTCCACGGCCTCGATGGCGCGCACGAGGTCGGTGTCGGTGACGGCGGGGCGCCACTCCGCGCGCGCCTCCGCCACGCTGTCCAGCGTCGTGCTGCGCTCGCTCTCTGTACCGTATATGTTGTTTTTTAATAATATTTTTTAAAAATGGTCATGTTAAGGAATGATAGAGGACAGATATTGTTTTTTTTAATAATATTGTTAAAAGAAATTGTTATGTTGGATACACTGTATTTAGAAATGAGAAATTATAGACCTATAAATATTATAGATTAACTGACACTAACATTCAATTCATACAATTCTGGGCAACTATTTCAAATGTTCTTCCTTTAAACCGATCCAGTTGTTCTCAAGTGATCATTTATCAACGAACAGCGTTTTATTTTATGACTTGTTGGTGGACTTTAGTTTTATTGAAAAGGGGCTTATGCGACGATCAGGCCACGTCCAATATGTCAAATCGAGATTGGTGAACTTCTTTCGATTCTTTCTTTCAAAAGTGAGTTAGCTTAGTCTGGTTCTAGTCATGTAAAGAATGCGAAGATCAGGTCAAAATCCTCTACTCTATCAAAGCCCGGATCGTTGGACATCATAAGTTTGTTTAAAAACTACTTAGTTAGGGTAGTAAATTAAGATCTGGCCATGTATAGGAACAAAACAGCATTAAAGAGAAGTTTTAGCCACCCAAAATAACATACCGGAGTCGTTTTCCAAGGAGCGCCGGTACGCGGGGAGCGCGGGGGCCGCGGGGCGCGCGCGCGGCCGCGGCGCGCCGGCCTCCTCGCTGTTGGCGCGCAGCCACGACTCGATCTTCTGTCGCCATTCCCTGCGGAGAGCGGGTTGGTTATGTCTTTATGTATAACTAGCGACTCACCCTCGCTTTTCTCGGGTGCGTCCCTAGGTGTATAGGTACGTTTTAATTTTTTTGAGCGGAACCCTAATTCTTTTTCTAAACTAAAAGTAGCCTATGTTACTCCGTATATCATCAGCTATCTTCCAGTAAAAGTACCGTCAAATTAGTCCAGCCGTTTCAGAGATTATCCGGAACAAACAGACAAACAGACCAAATTTAAAAAAATGTGTTTTTCTTATAAGTACTGTATATAATTTTATAAACATTTAGTAAAACGCTGTTATTTTGACATTACGAACAGTCTACAGACACTTCAATTTTACTTATCTATATAGATATATTATACCAATAACTCACTTAGGCTTAGGTGGTGCTTCAGGGACAGCAGGTGAGGGTGGAGAGGGAGTAAGAGGAACGACGCGCGGGGAAGGAGAGGGAGAGGGAGAAGGAGAGGGAGAAGAGGGACGTTCGCCGGTTCTCTCTCTGTCGGGTATCTCAAGGCGAGCGCGTACTGGACCACGTCGGGACCAGGAACGATCTGGAATTCAAATTTAAGAAATATTGTTATTTGATTATCATAAAACTTCATTAGCAATTTTTTTAAAACTTATCGATTCTGAGAAGAACTGTCGAAAGAAATTTTTAATTTTTTAAGTTTCTTGGTAATTCAAAATAGCCTACATACTATGTATAGTCAGATTTTTTCAAACGTAATAGAAGAAAGATTTTTCTAAATCTAATTAGATTCTACCAGACATTCCGGTTTCCTCACGACGCTTTGTTATTAAAACAATTTTCTTTGTTATTACAAAATAAAATATATAAAACTGGCAATCATGTTGAAAATAATTCACACAAGAAAATTACAGGAGTGTGAAAAAATAGAAAAGCTTATTACACAGGAAAAGCTTATTACTTGCACACGTAAAATTAAGAATTAACAATTTAACATTATTCAAAGTTGACTAGAGGCTAAAATCAAAATGAATCCCCGAATAAAAAAATAAGTTCAAATAAAATGCCAAATATTCGTGTAAATTCAACAAACTATTATAAGGAGTATATTATCATACCAAGGCTACCCCAGGCGTTCCTTTCACGCAGTTCGTTTGCGGGCGAGGAGTGCCTCAAGAACTCAAGTAAGCCGTCCTCGTCATCCCCGGGGCTGGCGCGGCTCCGGCGGCGTAAGCTCCCTGTAGGGGTTACATCTGGAAAAGTCATAAAATAAAGAAATAAACTTCTGGAAAAGTGGTAAAATATAGAAAAAAAATGGGTGCGTGTAACCTTTTCGTGCGATTGTAGTAAAACTTCTTTGGCAAATATCACAATGAAATTAGTTTATTAAATTAATTAGTGCTAAAAAAGAGTTATCAGGGTTTCCCGTAAAAAATGTCAGAAGCATTTATATTATGATCATCTTGAAATGTGCGATGTTCCTTGAATTTAAGAGAATACTCTCCATGCAATGTGACTTTAAAGCAGGTGTAGATTTTAAAGGAAAGATAATAAGAGAATACATGCTATAAACAACGCAAGTGTTTTAAAAATAGTAATTTAAACTACCTGGAGAGGGCGAAGGGTCGTGAGGTTTCCTCAAAGATCTTCTACCGAGCCCATTTCGTATGTCCAGCAGAAGGGACTCCATAAGAGATTCACACTCCGATACCGGCGTACTGCATACACTACCGCCTAAAAGTATATATAAAATATACAGAAAATGTTTGAAATCATAATTCATATTGAAAATTGCCTATCCATATTATGTATGTATTTTTTTATTACTATTTTTATTATGTTTTTAGAGTTTAAGTTTTGCTTTTTTGTTTTTTTCAATCTGTAATTTTTTTTTATAATATTCACTTTTTATTTTGCAATATTTTTAGTTAAAAAAATATATTTTGTTTTTAAAGTTTAACTAATTATTATCATGTTTACTGTACCTGTGGCATATTTACGGATGGAAACTTTGCTGGTGTGTGGATGTTTTAGTTTGTAATGATTATTAAGTATTATTTCACTGTTTTTGTCTCAAAAATAAATAAATAAATACCAGTTCTAGCCTTAGTGACGAGGGCGGCGTGGTCGCGCGCGCGGCGCCGCGCCGCCGCCTGCTCCTCGTGCGCCTTGCGCCGCTCGTTGTCCGTCACCGCGGACCGGAACTTGCTGCAGAATGTCACGAATGTCTGCGAACGATGTATGTATACCATTAATATTATAATCCTATTATCTTTACATAGTATAAAATGAAGTCGCTTCCGCCGTCTGTTCGCTTAGATCTTTCAAACTACTCAACGGATTTTAATGCAGTTTTCAGCAATAGATAGAGTGATTCAAGAGGAAGGTTTATGTGTAAAATACATTCATATTATAGTACAGAAAAGCCGAGAAATTCAAAGATTTGTATTTCATACTAACCGTTAAAACGTACGTCGCTAGGTATATAATAAATGCGAAAGCTTGGATGGATGGATGTTTGTTATTCAATGACGCCAGAACAGATGAATAGATCTGGATGAAATTTGGCACAAAGATAGATTATAGTCTGTCACATAGGTTACTTTATATCCCAAAAAATGTATGGTTCCCGTGGGATAGATTTGTTTTTGTTTTTACTAAGGGTGAAGCCGAAGCAAAGCGAGGGTGAACCCCTAGTAATTTTAATAAACTCAGAATATTTTTTTGGTAAGTTTTTTGACTTGTGCATGAATCTAATTTCCAAAATAAGTTGTCATCTATGGTTTTGTTCTCCTCGCATTGAGTCCGTTCCCATCAGTGGGATGTTATAAAAACTGAATCAATATAATATAACTATAAAATAATATTTACATATTTACTACATTATGAAACAAAAAAAACAGACTAATATAATGATATGCCTTATAAAAAAAAGTTAATGACATACCTTAAAGCACTCCTCAAGTTTAAAGGAGACAGGATCCTCACAGAAGAATTCAGCAAGCTGCTTCCTCATGCTCTCCACTTCTTCCATATCTTTGTTTAACGCTGAAATTTCTCTTTCTGCAACCTGGTTGAAAATATATGATAAAAATATAGCTTATAGTTTAACAACTAAAAGCTACAATTTAGCAGAGTTCAGCTTTAGAATAATTGTATAATATAATTGTCTCGTAGGAAGACATTGTTATTATGAGTGCCTTACCTGTAAAAAATCTCCCATTTGCTCCCTTATATCATGTTGGGTCGTCGCTTGTATATCTTTCTTCAACGCAGTTATTCGCTGAGACAGTGTGTTTATTTCATTATGTAACTGTTCAACACTCGCTTTAGATGCTTCTTCTAAAACCCTGATGTCGTCAGCGAAGTGTACCAACTCTTTGTTCTTACGTTCTGCTTGCTTGAGTATGTAATTAAGATATTAGTATTTTTATTTTTATAATAATTATATTGTTGTGTTAAAAAAACATTATCATTCTTTTGAAAAGTTATTTTAGTTCATTGTGATAGCCGAGAATCGAACCTGTTTTTCTTGACGACATAGCGTCAACCGATAAAGTCAATTACAAGGACCAAATTGTTTACATAGAAAACAAATAAAATGTGTTAAAATTGTATAAAAATGCTGATTATAACAAAATATAGTATTTCATCAATTTTCAAATACACCATTCGAGCGCGATTGTTATTTATTATTAAAGTAATTCTACAAGAAAAACTCCAGCCAGTGGGCCAAGATGTTAGACGTCCCAAGACTCTCATAATAAACAAAGCCCCTTTTTTATTTCTTTCGACCATTTCTATTGTGATCTCATATTACAAACTAACCAAAGCGACATAATGCATGAGGTTCATGCCGGGCTTGTTGGCGCGGATGTCGGAGAGCTTCTGCAGCGAGGAGAGCTTGACGCCGGCCGCGCCGCCCGCGTAGCCGCCCGCGTTCAGGAAGTTGCCCGCGATCAGAGCTATGTACAGGACCTCCTGTAAATTATTATATATGTAAATATACAAATGTTGGAACATTAACACACAGCACCATCTAGTTCCATGGTAAGCTATGAAGCTTGTGTTATGGATACCAATAGTTGATACACTACACATATATATACTGGAGTACAAAAATTCATGATCATAACACAAATGAATGCCCTGATGAAGTAGGGTCACTACAAACTGAGCCAAAATTGTCGTCAAAATAATTATTTCAGTTATTACTATGTTAGAAGACTTACATACTTAGAATACACAGGAATATCAAAAATTATTGTTTCTGGTAGATCATCTCAATTCTTTCTAAAATTTACGCGAATACGAGTTTTAGACATTTAAATAAAATTATTTGTTTTTACTTTTTTTTGTGACCATGTTTGCTGTAAAGTATTCGAAATATCGTAAATAAATAAGAGAACCCGAGAAAAATTACTATATCATATTAAAAGTGGCAATAAATGTACGAGCCAAAAATAGTGATTATTGAGTTTTTTCATATTATTATTTGACTCGTTGCCCACTACATGCAGCAGTACACTACAGTTTATGCCTTAGGAATTAATTTTATTAAATCAATTACTTTGTTTTTTTTAAGAGTTATAAATATATTTTTTTATTAAATAAAAATAATTATTACTATAAACATTATTTGTTTTTAATTTGCCAAATTCTATGATAATATCCAAACATAATCCTTCCTTGAGTAGTAGATTGAGATAACTTTTAAATAACTGCGAGAGTTTCTCACTAATCATTATTTTGGTCTCTGTTTAGATGCATATTCTCTTAACCAGACAGAAATATTCTAACATCCTTATGAATAGACTAATAAAGCAAAATTATTTTTAAGTGTGATAGTTCTAGATATTAGCGCTTTCAAATCAACAAAAAATAAATCTACTCGTAGTTCCGCATTATCATCGCTTGGGAAACCGAATGAAGTGGGTTCAAATCCCGCGTCTCGCACCTCTGGTATTTTCATGTGCAAATCATTTCTAACATGATTACAAGATGCCTTACGGTGAAGGAAAACATCGTGAGGAAACCTGTATGTCTGAGAGAACCTAGCAAGTTTTCGGAAGACATGTGAAGTTCGCCCGCACTTGGCCAGCGTGGTGGACTATGGCCTGATCCCCCTCGTACTGAAGGGAGGCCTGTGCCCAGCAGGGGGACGCTAAAAAGGGCTGAATACAATGTAATTATAATATTATTATACACACCTGTATAGCTCTGGAAGACATGAGGTCATCTCCTGCCACAAGAATGGCGTTGATAGCACTCTCCAAGTACCCAGCACTGGAAGCCCATTCTTCTTTAAGAAGCATGCATTCTATTCGCAATTTGTAGCTGTAAGGAATATAATATCCATTTTTATATTATGTTTTTTTATAACTTCCACTGAGTTTGAAACTTCGAAACATTATATAGAGATAGCGCGATAGCCAGGGTTTATTAACTGACAATAACCTGTGTCATAGTCTGTGTTGTTAATTTCAATGAAACCAAATCCGTTCGTGTATTTTAACGTCAAGGAGCAACAAACAAACAAACTTTCGCATACTGGTAATACAATAATTATATTCAGTGGTAGTACAAAGCTCTTGGTGACCAATTTATACTAGCCCAACAACCCAACTCACACTTGACCAATCTACTTACTTGGGTAGCTGAATGAGTTGTAAAAGGAATTTCTCCGCATTGCCCAGTTTAGTGACGTCACCGCTGAAGGCTTTTAACATTTCGCATTCATCTATCTCTGGCAGAATTTTGAGGAGTCCGCGGAGTTTTTCTGTGCCGATGTCGTCATGTGAGCCTTCTCGTATTAATTGGATGATATCTTCGTTGGAACTGTGGAATAATGAGCACATTTAGATTAAGAAAAAGTTGTGAAATGATTTGTCCGACGACAAGATATTTGTTATATTATTTGTGTATTTTCTCTGTAAGTGAATTTTGTAATTCTTTTGAGAAAATAAATGTCTTAAACCATATTTTGTTGACAAGTGTCTCTTTGGCTTGTTGAGTTTTCTTACAAGACAGGGTAGTTAAATCGATTATTATCGTGTTTGATTGAGCATTGTAGTTTTTTAATCCTTTCAATAAACTCTGTTGATTTAAGTATTCTAATATTCGTGTAAAACTTCTTTATCTATCTAATCAATTAAAAGAATATGATAACAATCTTTAGTAGCTTTGGCAATTTAATGAATATCGTACCATTTTATCCTAAAATATTTATCCAGATTTTTGACAAACATACAAGTAAAAATAATAAATTTTCTTTTAAGTATAACAAAATGGTTTATGTTTTAAAATCCTTACCTTCGGAATTGCTTCAGGAATATGTTGACATTCAAACTCCTCTTTCCATCCAAGAGTGTGATTTCAGACGGCTCTTTCCTCGGTTTCCGCTCTCCTGAACTGTCGCAAATAGGGCTTCGCCCCAAGCGCGGTGATGACCCCGCTGACCCCGTAGGTTGCACCTAAAAATTACAGAAATTTTAAAAATATAAATAAATATAAATATGTTGGGATATTAAAACACAGCACCATGTAGTTCCATGGTAAGCTACGAGGCTTGTGTTATGGATACCAGATAGTTGATACACTACACATATATAAGTTCAAATACATACATATTATAAATATAATCATCCCTAACTGGAGTACAAACATTTGTGCTCATCACACAGATGAAAGGCCCCAGTGAGACTCGAAGTCGCGTCCGCTGTCACAACAAGTACTACAGGTTACTACAAACTGAGCCAAACGTGTCGTGGTTAATAATTTAGTTTTTCTTTTATTTACTAGCCCTCTCGTACCCCACCATGACTGAGGGTGTTCTCGTGACTAATTCCTAAGGAAGACCATCGGGGCGAAAAATGCTAGAATTTTCTTCAAATTTTGGATGTAAAAACTTACTTGTTGACAAAATAGGCCTTCGATCTCGCTCCAGTCCAGCTCTGATTTAGGAGAGTGCTTGTGACTTGAGGCTACGATTGACCAAATGTTGTTTTGGCCGATTACCTACAGAAATTTTATATGTATTAAAATAATATATTACGTCTCAATACGCAATAAATTATATAACTTCTTTCTCATATACTACTTCTTTCTTTACTTCTACTTCTTTTTGGATCAATGCAACCATGCTTACGAGTATTTTAATGAAACTTAGTCCTATTATTACATTAATTCTTTTCCTGGCTGTTATTTAATTTTAAAGTTTATAAAATATTTCAAAGCTACAAAATATATTTTTAAAAAAATTGTTACAAATAACAAAAGTATTTAGACTCACTTTATTATTAGGAATTTTATTCCAATTGATGGTCTTCATTTTGGTTTTGGGCAATGGTATCTCTTGTTGTGGTAGTTTGATGTTTATAGGGGGTGTTGGTGGGGACAGAGTCGCGAGGGGTGGTGGTGGGGGAGCTCCCCGGGGGATGGGGGGCGCAGGGGGTGGTGCGGGTGCGGGGGGTGCTGGAGGTAGGGGTGGAGGCATTGCTGAAAGGAAATAAAAATATAAATATGTATTTAGACTAACATTTTTCAGAAAAGACACCTACATATATAACAGATAAACTTAAAAAGCAAAACCTTATCTAAACACAAAATTTGATCTAAATAGTTAAGAGCTGTTTCCGAGATACACGAAATAAAATAAAATAAAATAAAAATCTTTATTTGGAACAAATTTACAAAATCAGAACATTGTACGATATGGACTACATTAGTTAAAAACTGTGTTGTAGTCAATAACGCCCACCTCCAAGACATTTAATTAATATTAATACTAGTTCCAATAGCTTACATAGAAGTAGTTATAAAAGGTAGTATAGTTATATTTGCAGACATAGATTCTAGAATTAAATACAATAATATATATAGTATAATGCTGTGTGTGTGTATGTGTGTGTGTGTGTGTGTGTGTGTGTGTGTGTGTGTGTGTGTGTGTGTGTGTGTGTGTGTGTGTGTGTGTGTGTGTGTGTGTGTGTGTGTGTGTGTGTGTGTGTGTGTGTGTGTGTGTGTGTGTGTGTGTGTGTGTGTGTGTGTGTGTGTGTGTGTGTGTGTGTGTGTGTGTGTGTGTGTGTATGTGTGTATGAGAGTTGTGACTGCCACTTAAGTAAGTAGATTTTCAGTATCTTCATAGGTAAGATCCTGTAACCAAGCGATAGTTGCACTTTTGCAAACATGTAGTGTCTTAGGAAATATATTGATAATTTTATTTATTCTATTATATATATTTGAAGAAAAATAATAATAGTGTCGTCGACACAAAGCCAATCGACTACGATGGGTTTCACAAACTATATCAGATCTACGTTTATTGTGAATTGTATAGTCCTTGTATGGTGTTTGTGAATGTTTGCGTAGTATAGTATGTAGAATAAATAGTTTCCTAACCGATAATACCCGTGTGACTTTATATAGCTCATCGGTAGGATACAGCATGGATTTAAATGTCATGGTTTTAAGAATTGTTCTTTGAGCCCTTTCAAGACGAAGTAATTTAGTTTTTCCAGTCCCTCCCCAAGCTGTAATACCATAAGATAATATTGATTGTGCAAGAGCATAATATACATTTTTTAACAATGGGAAATCCATTAATGGTCTTAGTTTCTTAAACACGAAAATCAATTTACGAAGTTTTGTGTAAGTAGCCGCAATATGCTCTTTCCATGTCAGGGTGTCGTCAACCCATATGCCCAGATATTTAACACAAGTCACAGGAGTAATTTTTTTACAAGTACATTCGACATTTCTCTTACAATTTTGCTCATGAACATGGATGGAAATACGGTCAGACGGGAGAGAGTTTTTATGTGGAGCAAAAGTAATAAAATTAGTTTTTTCAAAATTTAACGTTAAAATATTTAAATTTAGCCAATTATAGACGGAAGATAGTGCACTTTCTGCACGTGTACTCACTTCTGGCCAGCTTTTACCATGAACGAGAAGTATCGTGTCATCAGCATATGAAATTATACTACAGTTTGGAATAGAGAGTTTAGACAATTCATTGACATAGACAAGGAATAGTGTTGGCCCAAGGACACTGCCCTGTGGTACTCCAAAACTTAAACCAACTTCATCACTCACGGTACCATTAATTACCACGCACTGAGATCGATCACTAAGATAACTTTTAAATAGATCATTCACTACTCCTCTTATACCAATGTCATTTAATTTTGTCAAAAGATTGGTAATTGAGACCGTGTCAAATGCCTTAGTTAGATCTAAAAATATTCCAATAACTTTGTTTTTACGGTTAAAATTTTGAACGATTGTAGTGGTAAGGTCCAAGATCGCATCTTCAGTTGACTTACCACTTCTAAAGCCATATTGGTTCGGAGCTATAATATTATTAGCGGTTAGATAATTGTTAAGTCTACGGTTTAATAGTTTTTCAAATATTTTAGAGAAAGAGGTTAAAATTGAAATAGGTCTGTAGTTATTAATTTTATTTGCATCTCCGTTTTTATAAATTGGATGAATGAGAGCTTTTTTAAAAACTTTAGGAAAAATGCCTGATTCAATAGATATATTAAAAATATGAACAATCAATGGAATAAGCACGTGTCTAGCTAACTTTATTACAGAAATGGGAATTTCATCCCATCCCGTCGCAGCTGTATTTTTAAGGTTATTTATTACATTTTCTACTTCTGAATGGTCAGTTTTATATAAGGACATAGAAGAAGAGAAATGGGGTACAGGTGAGGAGCAACATGCATTCATTGGGTTTGAATTACCAGAATCTTTAATTTTGGTAGCTAAGGTTTTACTGACACTAGAAAAGTAATTATTAACATTATTGACTGCGGTAACAGGATCACTTGCCAACATTAATAAGTTAGTAGGTGATTGGGTTGGAGGTTTGAGATGGCTAACATTTTTTATAAGATTCCAAGTCTCTTTGGCGTTATTTTTAGCTTTTAAGAAGTTATTCCGATCATAATCTCTTTTGATTCTTTTAAGAAGATTATTGCAGAAATTTTTATACCTATTATATATTGTGAAACAATTAATATCATCCGGGTTTTTTTTCGATTTTCGAAATAATTTATCGCGATTACGTATACATCGCAAGAGTCCGTGTGTGATCCAGGGTTTGATTATTCTGTTTTTATTAGAAGTTTTTATTTCATGTGAGTTCCTTTTAACAATATCGGAAACCGACGTAACAAGTTTTAAAGCTGCACGTTCAACATTGAAATCTTGAAGGATACCAGAAAAATTAAATTTTTCTAATTCTTCAAGACAAGCCGTTTCATTAAGTCGTTTAGCTGACTTCCTTATGCTATGAAATTTTAATTGAAGATTAAAGTTGACGATTACCGGTGCATGATCAGTAAAATAGGAGTCAAGTACGAGAGTATTGGCAATATGTGTAGATTTTAGGATAACATGGTCGAGGCAACTATTATTTCGAGTAGGCAAGGTATGGGCCGGAAGTAGTCCATGTGACGCGAGAAGGTTTAGATACAAATCGGAATTTGAGTCAGAGTTATTAGTATTTATGTTTATGTTAATGTCACCAATATTCGCTATGTTATCAAATGTATGAAGCTGCTGTAAAAATAAATTCATATATATACAAGAATTGCTAGCTTAATAGGTATTATAAGATAGTATTATTTAAATAGCTTCAAGTAACTTATAAGAAATAAGATTAGTGTATATTACATTTAATATCTTACCAGGTGGAGGCGCAGGCGCAGGCGGGGGCGGCGGGGGAGATAGTGCTCTTTGCAAGCTTTGTTTCCTATTTGATCCCGATAGGTCTCTATGCTGACATGTGCAGCCCATTTTTGCCTGAAATTATTAATATTTAACTAAAAAGATCATATAATAATTACACTATGGGACTTAAACGTAAGTATATACGTAAGTATATATAATACCTTATTCCCGACGTTTCGACTGGGTTGTACTAGCCGTGGTCACGGGCAGACATACGTACATATATAACGGCCACTAACGAATTTAGGCGTTTAAGTCCCGTAGTGTAATTATTACGGTTGAACGGATCTGGATGAAATTTGGCACAGAGATAGATTATAGTTTGGAATAGCACCTAGGCAATTTTTTATTTCGGAAAAATGTATGGTTCCCGTGGGATAGATTTGTTTTTATTTTTCATAGTAAAATATTTTTTTTAATATTTTGAACTTATAATTGAATATATAAATAGACTAGCGGACCCGACAGACGTTGTCCTGTCTACACGTCTTTAATTTGAAAATTTCAAACTTTTTTTTAATAATTTTTTTGATGAAAATTATTATTCAAATTGTGAATCTAAACCATTCCCAGATCCCCTTGAACACACACAAAAAATTTCATCAAAATCGGTCCAGTCGTTGGAGAGAAGTTCAGTGACATACACACTCACAGAAGAATTATATATATATATAAAGATTTTTACAGCATTTTTTATTTCGATGAAAAGAATATATAAAGCTGTAGGTTCTTTTATACCTGAACACTTGGTGCTCTTAGCAACTTCGCAGCATCTTCTCTCGTCTCCAGCAGCGTGGCTCTGTGTACCAGGGTCTCAGCCGTGTCCCACACGATGTCGCTGACTGGTTCCTTCGGGTCTATCCGCAGTAAATGCTGTAGGATACTCAGGAATGGGATCTCTTGCGGTGTATCAGATACCTAGGGATATTAAAATTATTCGTTACAATATTTTAGATATAGAAATTTAGTTTTGAGTTTTAGTGCCTATCTTTTGATGACAAAGTTTATTAATAGGAAGTATCATCTATCCAGTCTCAGATACTATGTATTCCACATTACGTTTATCCTTAGATAAGTATAATTTATATGGCAGATAGAAATTTATAAGGGATTTGAACTTATGTTAATTGAACGATTGACGTATATGTCTTGTGGCATAATAAAATACGGGCAACAAACATGCCATATTCGACTGCACATATTTATATACAATGTGATGATGTTCTGATGATGTTCTCCTAGCCGATTCCGGCCACGGCGGCCAATCTCAATGAGATTAGCCAACTGCGCAGGAGATATTATAGTTCTCAAGTGTACGCGCAGACACAAGTGCACTCTCTATTCCTATCACTCTCATACTCCGGTGGGACGACCACTCGACACGACCGGTGAGAGTTAAGGCGCAGGACCGACGGCTTTACGTGCTCTCCGGGGCACGGGGGTGAAACACCGCCAACTTCCCAACTCCGGGCTGTTACTGAGACTTACTATACAGGAAGACTCAATAACTAAACTTGGCCCGACCCGGGACTCGAACCCAGGACCTCCGGGTGTGCAGCCGTACATGCTAGCCACTACACCACCGAGGCAGTTAAAACAATGTATATTGTACATAATTTCTATGCGAAAAATTAATTTTCAATAAGTGCTAGGTTTGTTATTTTACTCCTATGTAAATGCGAAAGTTTGGATGGATGGATGTTTGTTACTCAATCACGCTAGAATGGCTAAACAGATCTGGATGAACTTTGGCACAAAGATAGATTATGGTCTGGAATAGGACATAGGCTTTAAAATTTTTATGTAGGAAAAATACACGGTTCCCGTGGGATAGATTTGTGATTGTTTTTCACTAGGGATGAACCCGAGCGAAGCGAGGGTGAGACGCTAGTCATTAATAAAGCACGCATTGCTTTTTCATCTAAATCCATCTTGTAATATTAATAATTCCGATATACATATATTATTTTTTGACTAATTTCAAAACTATCGTTAATCATAAGCATTCGTTTGACATAGGAACAGTTTATCATGGAGGCGGATATAGACAACTCAATCTAATATAAATTAATCTAAATAATCTAAACAGGATATAATATATCCAGATGAAACAAGCCGTTTCCGTGAGAAGAAATTGTATTTTCCTATTTACGTACGCTTTTACTTGTCCCTTTAATAAATAGAGTGAGAATCTAAGAGTACGTGAGATACAAATATTTAATTCAATTCTCTTTATAATGGCTTCAAAGCGTGCCAGTTGGCCACATATTACTTCACCAATGTTACGTAGAATGGAGAAGACACGAAGAAGATTGGTCGGTAAAATAAGATTATTAAACTAATTTAATAGATAAAAAGCCTTTCCTATATAATAAATAAATAATTTTAATGTGTAAAAAAGTGGTAATAAAAATATTACTATAGTACTCTTTTATAGACCAATTTCTATGAATAAAAAGTTTTAGCATGCCTGTGTTCGCAATCCTCCACCTCCAAACAAACGGCTTGACCGATTTAAATGAAATTTTTATGTCTACATAGTTCTTATGGGGTTACCTGCGTAGTTCTTAAGTTGTACCCGGTAGATGACGCCGTGATCCAGATTTCTTTTTCAGAAATTTGAATGATTGGAAAATTTTAAGACCAAATATGTATAAAACAATAATAAGGTGTTATAATATTATTACAGGTGTCGATATGTAGATTGTAGGCGATAATAAGAGTATATAAAGATACATTTGCATTTTCAAGGGGCTTACCTGTTTCAAAATAGCATAAAACACGTCTAAATGGGAGTTGAGATTGATGCCGCCGGGGCCTTGTGCCTCGTCGCTCTCACGCTGCTCCTCGAACACGTCGAGCTGGACTCCGAGGTTTGGGTGACTGGCAGCTTCATGCCTAATTGAAATAATTAAATTTAATTAATAGTAGTGAAGTTACCGAGTGAAGCAGGTTCAAATCCCGGATCTCGCACCTCTGATATTTTCATGTGCGAATAATTTCTATCATGATTACCACTTACGGTAAAGAAAACCATCGTGAGAAAACCTGCATATCTGTGAGAACCTAGCAAGTTTTCGAAAGACATGTGCACTTGTGCAGTCCGTCTCGCACTTGGCCAGCGTGGTGGACTATGGTCTGATCCCCCACATATTGAAGGGAGGCCCGCGCCCAGCAGTGGGACATGAAAAGGGCTGAATACAATACTATATAGTACAGTACCTATATAATATTATTTATAGTATATGATATAATAACATATATGTATATGTAGATTTAGGCGTAAGTTTAAAATAGGTGTTAATTTGGTTTCATTTATATAAAAATATTTATTGCCTATTCGTTTAAAAATTAATACATCGGAATTTAAAAAAGCAGGTGGTATTTTTAAACTTAGTTAATAATATTTAAGACTAGCTCATCTAGGTATTTAAAAGTATAAAAGATTTTGCTGAATCTAACAGTTTTATATTTGTGTACTTTTCAGACAAGTCCAAACAAATACCCATGTATACAAACTTTGTGGAAGATATAAATTTTGCATCAATAGACAAAAAAAGACAAAAAATCTGTTGAGGAAAAAAATATAATTGTACATAAAAACGTTATAAAAAACCTTTACATTTAATAAATTAAGCACACAGTGTTTTTATGCACGTTTTTATAAATACATCAATAACAAATCGATAGTTAATAATTATTTTAATCGAATCGGTCATACTTAGTGATTATTCATGATCTCGCCATATTTGGTTCGAGACATATCTGCCCACGCGCAGCTTTTTTTGTTGTTTTACTGGACTGCGCGGACTTTAGACCGGAACGATTAATTGCTATGAAATATTTGTTTTGTTTGTGGTTAGCTTTAAGTTCATTGTTTTAGTTAGATACTCTAAAATTAGTATAGAATTATATATGAGTAGCGATTAACCCTCGCTTCGCTCGGGTTCGCCCCTATGTTGATTCCCCATACAAACTTTACATCCCTATTCACACCCTCAAGGGATGATTTCCAGAATAAAAAGTACCCTACGTCCTTCCCAGAGTCTCAAACTATCTTCTTACCAAATTTCATCTAAATCGGTTCAGTAGATCCGGAGATTACCCCCTACAACCTCACAAACTTTACCTTTATATAATATTAGTATAGATTTGACTTAATGAAAGTGGTACATTTAATAATATACAAGTAAAGAGATGTTAAAAATATATAAGTAAATTTAGTATATTTCGATACGTGAAATACATATTTACCTATTAGATATTTATAACTTAATATATTGTCAGCTACAAGTACGAATTTGGTACGACCAAAACAAATTATAATTTCAATTGAATTAATTTTCTTTTAATACTTTCTTAGATTTACGCGAATATTTGACATTTTCAACCGACTTCAAAAAGGAGGAGGTTCTCAATTCGACTGTATGTTTTTTTTTTTTTTATGTTTGTTACCTCAGAACTCCGTCATTTATTAACCGATTTGGACAATTTTTGTTTTGTTTGAAAGGGTATACTTCTAGATTGGTCCCATTTAAATTTCAAAAAAAAATACCACCCCTAAGGGTGGAAAAACAGCTAATTATGAATTTAACCTACTTTTAATTGTCATATTGACTTGAAACTTTGCAAGTATTGCTATTTCCGTTGATAGTACAGTGGTTCGGTGTTGTTGACCTGATCTGATGGCAAGGCCAGAAGGTGGATAGGTGGAACTCTTCAACGGCTAATAGTAGATACTTTGAGTTTGGGCTTATTTTGTTTGATTTGACAAGCCTAACACGTTAGAATCCTTACTTTGCTACTACTGTCTACACTAAAAAGGGAAAAATAAAAACTTTTTAACAAAAAAATAAAAACCGACTTCAAACAAAAGCACTAAAAAGTAAAAAATAACTGATTGGTAGTTTTCATTTACTATACATACCTAATCAAATATTTTCGAAGTCGGTGTGCTTTGGCTAAGTAATTGAAGCCTACCTATTAAATACATACCTAATCCAATATTTTCGAAATCGGTGCCAGCCCATACAAAGCAAAGCACACCGACTTCGAAAATATTTGATTAGGTATGTATAGTAAATGAAAACTACCAATCAGTTATTTTTTACTTTTTAGTGCTTTTGTTTTAAATAAAACTATCTTTTCAGATTTTTCACGGATTTATTTGCATTTTTGTTTCCCGACGTTTCGAATGCTTTACAGCATCCATGGTCACGGGAGAGACTGAGTCTCAGTCACACATCACAGACAAAATCCTAAAAGATAGTTTTATTTAATTTTCTTTGTTCTTGATGAATCTTAACATTTTTCACTATTTTATGTTGTCGATTGATAGTTAATACTGTTTGGCTCAATTTATACTTTGTAGTGACCTGCAACCTACACGATGTACCTGCGGTCACGGGTTCGAGTCCCGCTAGAGGCATTCATTTGTGTGATGTATATTTATAATATGTATACATATTTAAAGTTATATATGTGTAGTGTATCAACTATCTGGTATCCATAACACAAGCCTCGTAGCTTACCATGGAACTAGATGGTGCTGTGTGTTTATGTCCCAACATTTATTTAATCTATTATTTATATGCATAAAAATAATCATATACTGATTCACAATTGGTCAGAATAGTACGTAACATAACATTTTACATACACAGTTTTTGAGGTCGGCCAAAAAATTCACGTACAACAACAATACTGCTTTATCGCTAAAACAGCGATTTCTTCCTGGCTACTTTTAGGTGTAGGAAATACTCGTAGCAAAATGTGTAATGGAAAATGATACATGCATATATATACATACATATATACACTATTCTATATCTATTATCTACACTTATTATACATATATTACTCGTATATATCTATCCTCATATTATAAAGAGGAAACATTTGTTTTTTATTATTTGTTTGTTTGTATTGAATAGGCTCCAAAACTACTAAGCTGATTTAGATGAAATTTGCTAAAAAGATAGTTTGAGATCCTGGGAAGGACATAGAAAAGTTTTGATCCCGGAAATCATCCCTTAAGGGGGTGAAAATGGGGGTGAAAATTTGTATGAGGAAGCAAGCCGACGAACCCGAGCGAAGCAAGGGTTAGTCTAGTGATATTATAAATAATTTACATATACGATTTACATTAGGTTTATCTAAACAAATAACATAGTCTTTAGTATCACTTAAAAGAAGTATAAGAATTTACAGTATTTACAACAGTTAAATAGACTCACCTTAGGTTACTAAGTGTTGGAAGCAGTCCAAGTCCTGCAAAATAATAATAGTATCGTTAAATCTCACTAAGTATTTAGGTCTGTTCAAAATGTACAAATACTTTGCAACTACTTGTTTTGACAAAACCATTAAAATGAAATTCCGTCGTAACAATGTCATTAGAAACACTAACGATTTTTTTATATTGATAGTAGAAATTTTGTAGTGGTCAGAGTCATTTCGATTCTTTACTCATAAAAATATTATTATTTCGTAATTATTGTTACAATTGATATAAAAAATCACATATTCCTATGGTTGCAGCTAGTTTTTGCCTTCGGCTCCGCTCGCGTGGCAAATCTATAAAAATTAGTACTAATCAAGAAAACACTCCGTTTAGTAACACTTAGTTTCATTCATAACATTTAAGAACTTCTAACACACAAACACGAACACGCACACATACTTCGAGCTATAGCTATATCTACAGCTTCCCTTGCGGAGAAGGCAAAGAGAACAAAGTGCAAAACGCCAATCTCTACATACCTCTTTCGCATCTTCTATTGTTATCTACAAGACTTTCACATTCATAATAGAGTGTTATAAAATATTCAAGTGTTAAATGAAAAAAATACATATACCAAAAAAAAGTGCGTGTGTTACCACGCAACGGTACCATGTATGATGTACATAAACGTACGGTTACCATGGTAACATGGTGATGTATTCTATCTCATTCTCTCACCGGCTTAATCCGATATATTTATGTGTTTGTCTCTTTTTAGTGTCGCCTTTCCGTTTCATCGAGGTACAAATCACAACGATTCTAAAGAAGTTTTACTTCAAAAATTAAAATAAGGATAGGCATTGGGCATATTAGCTGAGCCACCTATCTATAATAATAAATGCCACGCACATGCCATGTTGAATTAACCGGTAACATAAAAGTCAGCAAACTTTTTCTAACCTTTAATATAAAAACTTACCAATAAACTCATTCCTCACTCGGATCCTGTCGGGTAGTCGAGTCGCAGATATGATTAGACAATTAATAAACGCAACGAGCGCAGTTTTGTAATCTATTGTAGTAGCGTTTTTTAATTCTTCCACCACTACTGAGAGTCGGTAGCGTTCTCCTTTTAGAACCTAGATGTTATAGAAAAAAACATTAATAACTATAAAAAAGTATAAAAATTTGAATACTAAAATAATATTAATACATACTATATTTATGAATAATAATCTATAATCTATACTAATATTATAAATGTGAAAGTGTGTTTGATTGTTTGTCCTTCTTTCACGTCGAAACGGAGTGACGGATTGGCGTGATTTTTTGTGTGAAGATAGTTTGTGTGGAGTAGTCTGGAGAGTGACATAGGCTATTTTTTACCGCGGGAGGTTATCTATTCCCACGGGATAACACGTTATAATACAATCCAAAAAAATATTTATGATCAGAGTTACTTTAAACTTGGTATTAATGCTCTTCAATAAAATTAAATAAATACGTGTTATAGCATTTTTCGAAATGCATCTTATAAAGGGGTATAATAGGAGATGAAAATTTGCATAAAACTATCTTTTTATTTTAACGCGAGCGAAGCCGCGGGTTCTACTAGTTATACATATACATATATATATATATATATATATAACTAGTAGAACCCGCGGTTATATATATATATATATATATATATATATATATATATATATATATATAATATATATGGAGTTCATGAACTAATAAAGAATTTAATTGTCACTTCGGTCTTTAACACCAAAATAACTTATTGTTGGTTATATATATAACCAGGCAAGTGTAATATGCCAATATAATTTTGTACAACTGCGTTCAAACTGTTTTTTCAGATCTTCAAAAGCGGTAAATATAAATTTACTGTCTGTGTTATAATTAAAAAACTTTTGAAATGAAGTTAACGAAACTTTTTAAATTAATATTAAAAACCATTGTTGTTCTTGAGTAATACACTAAAATACAAACAGACAAAAATATTATAGTAAATGTTTATTAGAACATGCCAAGCATGAATTGGTTAATGCATAATATATATTGTATCACTAATTTTAATGTACATGTAAGAAGTATAATTTTGTAATACCTTATATCTATCGAGTGTGTCCACCGCTCTTGCGTACCCATCGGCGTTGTACACGCATAATGCCGAAAGCAGCTCGAAAACCTGTAAAATTGGTAAAAACACATTGTTTTTAGAACTTTTTCACGTCCCACTGCTCAGCACCGGCCTTCAATGCGAGGAGGATCAGGCTATAGTCCACCACGCTGGCCAAGGACTTCATATGTTTGTTAAAAATTTGCTAGCTTCTCTTAGACATACATGTTTTCTTACTTCCTGTAGGTACCTACTTTATATGGTGTTTTTTTCTTAGTCTTTGAAATAACTAAAAAAATACATTATTTATCTAAAACCAATTATTCCTTAAGTAAAAGGAAGGCTTCTGCTCGGCGAATGAGTCTTAGCGCTCTAATAACCCCCTTTAGAGGACACTGAGAGAAGAATCGATTCTCATTCTTCTTCTCATTCTACTAATCTCGTTCACATTGCAGGAAAAACATAATTTTCTTAGCATAAATAGGTTCATAAACTTCAAAATTGATGTTCAATTCGCAATTTCTATGTGATGTTGCCAGAATTACTTAGATCAAGGATTATTTTCAAGGTTATAAATGTGTTATGAACAAAAAAAACTAGATCAACTAGGTTTATAAAATTAATTTCTTACTTGTTTCTTAACAGCCGCGGTAGGAGAAGTGAGCGCGGCAGCTAACTTGCCCGCGTACTCCGCGTGCTCCACTATGTAGTCCAGGCCCACTCGACTCTCCATATTTTCTGTGGAGAACAAAATATCTATTACATAGCTGGTACATCTACACATACATACATTCATTATAATTTAATCTCATACATTATAATTTAATCTTATATAAAGGAAAGTATATTTTCTGGAACAATAGGTGCAATTTGAATGAGGCTTTTGCATTTTATAGTTTATTTGTTGAGAAAGGTTACTATCTACACTAAATGACGTAACACACTACACTACTAAAGTAACTGTGACAAAATAACCCTAATTCGTTCAAATATGAATTTTGATCGATATTCGACTACGGGGTTATTACTATTACATACAATAATCGAATGCCCATCGTCATTTTCATTTTCAAATTCGATATTGCCGCGTCACAACAGCTTACTAATGCATAGTTCGTGTATCAGAATTAGAGCTAACTGTAAAACTATAAACTTCATTGTAGTTATATGCCGGGTGTATAGTATATGGTCCTATCTTGATTCTTGATCCCTTGACGCTCTGCGACATCACGCAATCCTCAAAAGGCACCGACGATTACCATACATTTTGTATGCAGCTTTGTTATACTTTCTAATGAAAGTAAATTTTAATAATGTTAGTAAAAATGTTTATATTATACAGTAGTTCTACTTGGTAAAATATTTTTGTAACTATTTAGTAAACCGTCTGTTTACTTCATTCGATGCGTTTCTATGTCACTTATACATTAAATTAATACATATATCTGGGGAATCTCATAGATAATAGAATTTAATCCCCATACATTTGTACTATTCGATGTGTTATTGTCAAGTCAGTTTTTAAAGTATATGTAAATAAAAATAAAACTATGAACACACAAGCGGCTCACCCTCGCTTCGCTCGGTTTCGCCTCTACGAAAACTAAAACAAACATTTTCCACGGGAACCGTATATTTTTCCGGGATAAACAGTAGCCTATGTGTTATTCCAGACTATAATCTATCTCTGTGACATATTTCAACCAGATCCGTTCAGCTGTTCTTGCGTGAAAGAGTAACAAACATCCATACTCACAAACTTTCACATTTATAATATTAATACGGATGAAATGGTCCCGATTTAGGTAATTTATTATTTAAAATAATTATAATAATTTCAATGATTTTTATAAAAAAAAATGGTAAATTTGCCCAGCAAATTGGGAAATTCTGGAGAAGCTGAAAGTGTTTTTGAATTTGGACAGGGAAAAGTCTGTTGAATCAGCTAGTTTAAATTGAATTATCACCTCAATAATGTAACGACAAATATGTCAATTAAAAAAATTATTAATTTATTCATTGTCTTTAAATTGTAATTACATTCGGCCTTAGTTAATAAAATATTAGTAGCTATTTATTTCCTTTGTAGAAGTGAATTTCTAAAATTTCATCGAAGTCGCGTACCCGGTGTCCTTACAGCCAATGCGATCGGCATAATTGGACAACTTGACAAGTGCAAGATGTAAGCGACGTACACTATTCAATGGTGAAACACATTTAATAGAAAATATATAAATATATATTTACTCTTGCCTGCGGCTAAGCTCGCATATTTTATATTATATTATATTATTATATATGTTTCACTTTTATACTGCTGTCACAATAAAGAAAGCCATAACTAAAAATTTAGTCAAAAACAACTTAAATGCAGATTCGGAATCAGCAAGAAAAAATGCTACTCGATAATCTTACTCATTAAGCTCTAAGTCTTATGAATTTGGAGATACCATGGTGCAGTGACGTAGTTACCATGAAAATGGTTACATTTTCATCGTAACTACGTCAAACCTACTATTAAGTACTAAGACAAAACTTCAATACTTTGACGTAGTTGCGGCCTTCTTTTTTATGACATGATAAAAAAGGCATACTTATAAGTTAGTAGCTTGTAATATTAGTATCTGAAAAAACGTAATAATATTTATTTAGCTAACAACTCGTCGCCTCAGTGCTTACTTGTCCAAACGGCCAATTCAACGAAATGGTTTTAAATACAGAATTATTTATTTTAAACTTCGATCAACAATAGTATTTTTGAATGTCAATTCTATTGGTAAATACACATTTTAGATTAATAAAGCCGAAACGACCTGAATTTATGGCATTTATTCGAAAATTCTAAGTTTTATTCCTTATACATACATACATACATAAGTACTATATTTATAAATATTTTTTAAAATAAACACAAATATAATATCAAGTATCTACCTAATTCTTTCATTAGATAACTAATATAATAAATTATTTCTTCCATCAAAAAGTTGAATTATTTTCTCTCTTTCTCACTCTCACTCTCTTTTTTTACCTAAAATACTTATACAAAAATATACATATTTTCATTTTATAATAACATAAGCTTATAGCTTGTACCATTGCCTATTTCTAGCTGCCAACCTACGCGTTCTTTGAATGCCAACACCTTTGCTTACTGTACACGGATAACATCTATGCGATGAAAAATGTTGACTGACGTGCCTTCATATCGGCTTCACATTAATCAATCTGAGCTGTTTAATTTTTAATAATAAAAAATGATATAATAAATATTTAAATTATGAATATATGAATATTATTGTAGGTACTAATATTATAAATGCGTATTTGTTTATCTGTGTGTTTGTCAGTTACTTTTTTCAGGTTTTCTTTTGAATACTATCTAGAAACGAGGAGATATGTATTACAAAAATTTATTGTTCCTGGAAAGTGCAGATTACTGTTGGAATAAAATAAAAAATGATATGATCCACTAGATACTAACATAGATAATTAAAACTTTTTACTATGTTCGAGTTTTTAAAATAACAAGTGTTCGGTCATACTTGTAAAAAATTTCCAAATTTGTAAAAAAAATAAGTTTTTAATTTTTTTTTATTGATAACATTGAAGCTGAACAATAGCTAAATAAAAAATAACAAAATTGATTGACAAACAGAGGAGAAAAAATTACTGAACTGTTTTGTCTTTGCCTATGTAGGTATGTATATATAACATCGATCAAAAAGTACTTCTTTGATCGATGGTAAAGATCTCGTTCTAAAAAAAAGATAAATCGCACTTTTTGCTTGTCTAGAAAACATATCTCATAATAAAGTTTGGCCTCATCTTTGAAAAGATGTTCCACAATATGACAACACAATTCGACTTTTGTTCTGTTAAGTATTGAGATATTAGATCTCTAAGAGTTTAATAAAATATCAATTATATATTGAACTAATCGCTAATATAAAAACCGTTATTGTGAAGCTTGTAAACATTTTCATCACCTTGACGGAACTTCTCAGCGGTACAAAACCGTAACGAATTTAATTTAGGCCATTGTATTGATGCCATTACATAACTTGATTCATATTTTGTTCTTTATTATTGTAATTCAATTATAATTTTTTTTGATCAACTTCAAAAAGGAGAAGGTCCAAGGAAGTATCCATGGTCATATATTTATGCTCGTGAATGTACTTAAATAGGTTTTGCTTTTTGGTGCGTGTTTGTGAAAAATGTTCGCAAATTTTTCTTTTTAACAGACAGGTTAGATCAGCTATACTCAACCTGCGGCTCGCGGGCCGCATGCGGCAGCATCAAAAATCGCATTATAACATATCTTTGTTAAAAAAGTAACTATATCGTTAACTTGGAATTACGTTTTCATTAAGACCTAAATAATTTTTGCTTGCAGCCCTCGACACCATGACTGAAACGTGTTTGTGGCTCCTATAAAAAAAGGTTGAGTATGGCTGGGTTAGATGGTCAAAAATATTAAATAAATAAAAAAAAAACAACTAAGGGTGGAATGGGAAAATATTTCATTACATTATATATTATAATGATTTGAAAATAATAAACGTACCTAGTTTGTAAATCTAATTACAATTGCACTTATGCTAATATTAAGTTCACCCGCACACTGGGACCACGATCGTGAAAATAGTAGCCAGCGACCAACTATTTACATTATAAGTATTATTTGTAGTGCGCGACCACACGACCACGACCATGTTTATTCATGGTCATGGTTACGGAGTACATGATTTATATATCTAGTTGATGTTTCTCGCAGATAATGGTTGTGATCACTTAGTTGCGGAATTAACGAACTACTATTATAAATAAATATAAATTGCTGGACGTACGTTGAATGAAAATTTAGTACTCAGACTATGACTTGGAGTAACACCTAAGTCCTAGGTTACTGTTAGGGACCTAGGTATCCAAATTATCGAAGAGTATGGTGTAAGTGGTTAGTAGAAAGTAATATAACATTATACAATTATTGTTTATGATATTTACATCTTGCGTAAATATTTATAAAGATCCTTTAATATATCATAAGCGATGCAGCTCGTTCTCGAAAATAGTCATCTCGTCAGCGTTCTGTTTACTGTAAAATGATACTCTGAGTTCTTGATTGAATGTGTTGATAAAATGTGCATCGAAAGGTTTTATCATATTGTTTTTTAACCGACTTCCAAAAAGGAAGAGGTTCTCAATTCGTTGGAATTTTTTTTTTATGTATGTTCACCGATTACTCGAAGACGTCTGAACCGATTTGAAAAATATTTTTTCATATTTCAAAGGGTATACTTCTCAGATATCCCATATAAATTTTATCGAAATCGGTCGAGCGGTTTTTAAAAAAATCAACAATCAATATTTTTTTCAAATAAATTGTTTAATCGAATATGTTATTAAAAAACTTTCTTCTTACAAATTATCTGCTTATTACGTGTACACTAAAAATGGAAAAATTAAAACTTTTAAAAAAGAAATAAAAACTTACTTCCAAGGACTAAAATGTAAAAAATAACTAAACGGGGGGTTTCATTTAGAATAGATACCTAATCAGATATTTTCGAAGTCGGTGCCAGCTGACAATATTTTAAGATATGAATATCTAATAGGTAAATATGTATTTTACGTATCGAAATCTTTTTTCTTTGCTTTGCATCGGCTGGCACCGACTTAAAATATTTGCTAAAAAAATAAATAAATATTTAAGGTGAAAAAATAAAT